TTTAACAATTAGCATTTGAATCTGGAGAGACTCACACAGAAAATAAGTTATTTGGCGGACAGGCCCTGGCAGAAGACTTTGATGCCTTGACTCAATATTCGCTTGGATGAGTAACCTATAAAATGATTAGAGTAGTCTTTCACTCGGGCCGGGACACTGGTGGTGGAATAAGCCGGCGAATGAGTGGGACTGAGAATACTTTGAGAGTGAGGGAGGAGATGGGGTGAAGGTGGGTAAAAGTTTGCTTGCTTGGAGGAGAGGGAAGCTAGGCTGAGCTAAATGAAGACCTTGAAAGTTGATTGGCTTTGGACAATGTGCTGCCATGAGTTGATTGGCTGGAGCTGAACGAGGGATATCGCAGTTAAAAACCTTAGGACAGAAAGACAGTTATGCTTGTTAGTGAACATATACTATTAAGGACACAAAAACTATAAATGAAATAAAAATACTTGAATCAATCTAATCTTCATATACACATGACAGTTTTACAAAATGTACCACAATATTGCACCTTGCCCAGACATTTAACCTTAAATACCATACAGCACAATCTGATAAAGCACAACATGGATACACATTTCCAAAATTATTTACACCACTGCAGACATTTCTTCAAGGAGCATAAAACAAATAAGGGGGACTCCACTCAAAGTACACATAATTAAAGAGCAGTAGCAGTAAGATCCTATGAAATTCAGAATTCTCACCGGGCGCCTCTTCAGTTTTTTGACATGGGCCCTCAATTCTCTGCAGCTGCTTTTCAGCACGAGTCTCTCACACAACTTTCAAGAAATTAGCAGCTGCTTTCCTAAGTGTCATTTATGCCTTCACCAATGTGAGGCAAAGCACTTCAGGTGTGCACACTAATAGCCCCGCCCTGTGCTATAGCCAATTAGCAGGTCAGCGCAACAATGAGCCTGAGTGAAAATTGGAAAATAAGAGAAATCTTATGTTTTATGATTATTATTGTTCCTCATCTTAATTCCAGGGCAGTGCTGCCTTGCAGCAAGAAGGTTCCAGGTTCGATTCCCGGGTCTTTCTGCATGGATTTTGCATGTTCTCCCTGTGCATGCGTGTGTTCTCCAAAAACATGTCTTTTAGGTTAACTGGCTTCTCTAAATTCTCCTTAGGTGTTAGAGTGTGTGTGAATGTTGTCCTGTTTGCCTCTGTGTTGCCCTGCGATGGACTGGCGACCTGTCCAGGTTGTACCCCGCCTCTCACCCATTGACAGCTGAGGACACATTCAGCAGTGTGACAGAAATGGATCTTAATTCCATACAAAACGTCTCCTCTTCTCCTACTTTTTAAACAATTTAATGTTACAAGCACATGGTTGGACAACAAAAGGTTTATTTGGCTACAAATAAGCTTTGAAAAGTATAATTAACAGTTATTAATACAGTGAATAAAGTGCCTAATATTATAGACAGTAGGTAACTTGGGATTCACTGCCTTGCACATTGGCACATCAACATGTGCAGGGAAGCTGGAAATAAAACCCACAACCTTTCAATGAAAACATGGCTACCCTCTTCCTTAAGTTCTCCTCACAGTAGAATAAATACCATCAATCATCTTAGCTTTAGCATTAGTTGCTGAGACTTTGACCACAAAATAGCACGTTTATAAGAGCAATGTGGACAGGAGAGGGAGATAAAACACTTTTAAAATGGAATGAGCTCATATCACAGGACCATCAGAGCTAAAATCAGAGTTTGGATCACTCATGACCTCTTTTTGATTCAAGGTTTCCTTGAAAACATGCAGTCATGTTCTAGGCCTGCAGATGATGTGGTGACATGTTCAGGCATGCTTACCACCTATTAGTCAAATGGAGAAAAAATACTCATACAGTATATGACATTTGAATCAACAATCACTTTCGCCCTCTGTGTTTACTTAATTCCTTGTATTGTATGTGGATGTTGTGGATCCCCAATTACAGAGTTCTACTAATTAAATTTATAACATTTAATAAACCAAAACAAAGAAGGGTAAAAAAAGATGTAACAGAAAGCATCATAAGCATCAAAACACAATACATGGTAGTCAGGGATGAAATAATGGACAAAGTCCAAAATAGGGTTAAGTTATAGAAATTCTATCC